CAAAAGGATACAGCCTTGCAGTGATGGAGGATGACAGAGACGTAATGTACAGGCGTGATGACTGTCCTTAATAACATTATCGATAACACTGGACATATGCTAAGAGAGAAGGTTTCGGGGGCATTTATCACACACCAAAACATGGCGATTGTGAGATGATAATGTGAATTAGCGGGACTGCAGTCACTTCACTCTGAATATCCAATCATCATGTTGTACACCTTATATCTATATATAACTTATTTTAAAGTATTTGATTTTAATAAATACTTAGATAGTGCTGGGGATCGCGCGCATACATGACTGGTGGTCATGCAAGGCAGTGAGATGCTGTGATTCAGAAAGCCGTCCCTAGATTCACAGCATCCTGGAGCTTCCTTTCACAAAGTCTCTGTGGCTTTCCTCTGGCTGTTCATAATCTTGGCCAGCGTTCTTTTCTCCTCCCAGCCTGCTTCCTCATAGGGAAAACCTCATAGGGAAAATGGGCATTAAAAATTCACAGGGTTGCCCTGGCTTGTGTTTCAGATTTGATTCCCGGTCAAGGGCATGTGTCTGGGTTGCAAGTTCAATCCCCAGACAGGTCAGGGCTCATGCAGGAGGCAGCCAGTCGATGTGTCTCCCATCAATGTTTCTCTCTCTCTCTCTCTCCCCCTCCCTCCTTCCTTTCGATTCTCTCTAAAAACCAATGGAAAACATATCCTTGGGTGAGGATTAACTAACTAACTAACTAACTAACTAACTAACTAAATAAATAAATAAATAATAAAAACTCACAGGGTTGTCATGAGAACGGAATAAATCTAATGGCCAACCACAGGTAACAGGTGGCTAAAAATGCAAATGTTATTGTAGAATCACAGAGTGGGGTTAGCAGAGACCCAGAAATCACTTGGGGAGCTTGTTAGAAGACAGATTTCCAGGCCTCATCGCCACCCATCCATTCAACAAATATTTCTTAAGGGTCCTCTACACTATTCTAAGTGCTGGGCGTCTACCAAGGAACAGAACAGTGATCTTGCCCTCCTAAAAGGTACATTTTATTTGGGGGAGGTGAACAGTAAAGCAGAGTGGAAGAAGGTTGCAATTTTACATAGAGCGCTCAGAGGGGGCCTCCTGGAGAAGGTGACCTTCAAGCAAAGACCTGAAGAAGGTGCAAGGAACCTGGTGGACACCAGCGTGTCCGAGTTGGCCAGGCCGCCACAGCAGCATCCACAGACGGGGGGATCTCTACAGCAGGAATTTATTTATTAATAAATTTATTCCTCTCTGGAGACTGGAAGTCCAAATCAAGGCATAAGTGGGTTTGGTTTCTTCCGCAGCTTCTCTCCTGGGCTTGCAGATGCCTGCCTTCCCCCTGTGTCCTCACGGGATTTTTCCTCTGTGCATATCTGGGTCCTGATCTCTTCCTATGAGGATTCCAATTCTATTGGATTCAAGCCCACCCTAGTGATCTCATTTCACCTCAACTACCTCTTTAAAGGCTCTGTCTCCAAATACAGTCCCATTCTGATGTCCTGGGGGTTAAAACATCAACCTACGAATTTTGAGGGATACAAGTCAGTCCATAACACAGGGAAAAGTACCTTCCAAGGAGGGGGCATAATAAGCCCTGGGGCAGGACTGTGCCTGGCATGTTGGAGGAACAGTGAGGAGGCCCCTGTGGCTGGAGCGGAGTGAGTGCGGGGAGAGGCAGGAGGTGAGAGCAGGGAGGTGATGGGGGAGGTCATGCAGGGTCTTGTGGACTCGGGGAGAATGTAGGCTTTTACCCTGAGGGAGGTGGGAGCCCTGGAGGGCTGTGGGCAGAGGAGGGATGGACCTAACTCAGTTGTCCACAGACTGAGTAGGTATGGGGAAGAACAACCTGGAAGATGCACTTTTTTAATTGAGATATAATTCAGATGCCATAAAATTCACCATTTTAAAGTGTACAGTTCAGTGGTTTTTAATATATTCACAAAATTGTACAGCTATCACTACTATCTAATTCCAGGACATTTTCATCATCCCCCAAAGAAACCCCATCCCCATTAGTAGTCAACCCCAATTCTCCCCTCCCCAGCCTCTGGCAACCACTAACCCATTTCCTGTCTCTTCGGATCTGCCTGTTCTGAACATGTCACAGAAATGAAATCACACACGGTGTGGCCTTTGTGTCTGGCTTCTCTCACTGAGCATCATGTGTTCAGGGTTCATCCATGTAGTGAGTGTCAGTGCCTCACTCCTTTTTAGGCTGAGTAATATTCCAGTGTGGATTTGCCTGTTCTGGACATTTTGTATGAACTCGATCACATAATATGTGGTGTTGGGAGACTCATTTTAACCAGCTCTCCTGATGAACCTGCTCCAGAAATGTTGGTCATGGGAGAGGCCAGTTCTTCACGCTGGGGGAGGCTGTTGTTCGGGAGATTGGTTAGAAATCTGTAGTATCTGAGGGACCGTATCAGAGAGAGCTGAGCCCTTTGGGACATTTGAATTGAGCTGATATTGGGCAAATGCAAGGGCACGAGGGCTTGTTTATAACAGAGCTAAATACCCTCCAAACCAGTGTGACAACCTGCGTGTCTGACTGCTGATGTCTTTTGGTTGCAAGTCACAGCAACCCATCCCAAACTGGTGTAATCAACAAAGGAATAAGTCGGCTCAGAACCTGGAAGAGTTCAGGTGTATTTCATTTAGATGGAAACATACAAGATGTGACCATTTGTGTCTGGCTCCTTTCACTCAGTCTCATGTTTTTGAAGGTATCCACTTTGTGTATTAGTACTGTCCCC